TATATATATTGGAACACAAGAAATAGCGGGAGAACCGGCAGCGAAAAATTATAAAGAGTACGAGGACAGAGGCGGTAGTGGTGGTGTCGACGACAACGACGACGACGACAACGACGACGACGACGAGCGAGGCAAACGCCACCAGTGAGTGCGAGACAGAGAGAACCGCCTTGCCACAACGAAAAGACGAGAGAGTGACGCGAGAAAACAGCTAGAGAAAACGGCTACTCACTGTCTTCTGGCGCTACTCTAGACGCGCTTCGCCAGCAGAACCACCGGTGATGGCCTGGCGGCCAGAAATCCAGTCCTCGTCTAGGCTAAGCCAACAGCTACAGCGAGGGTCTGGGGCCACAGCAGCGGGCGGCAAGATTCTGCGGTTCCTGCAGCTGCTATTACTACTACTACTGCTGCAAGCGGCCTACAGAACTGCAGTAACGACTAAAGCAGCACCAAAACAGTACCTTCGTAAGTAGCAGGACCAACCAGAAACGTTACCGAGGAACTACTAGGCCCGTTTTCGTCGACGAAAAAGGTCGGAAACAGCCAGCTTTTGCTGTCTTCAGAGCGACGACAAATCGCGCTGTTACTAGAAATAAGAATTTCCACAATGTCTATATATTTAGTCGTCGTGTGTACGGACCTGGTAACCTACTGGACCTAGAGCCCTACCTTCGCTAAGTCAACTTGGCCCGATCATCAATGGTTTAGAGACTCTAAAGAAATAAGTATACGGATTTTTACGAACTTTCTATCATCATAGTTCGCTGATCTCTATCAGGTCATAGTAGCGAGAAATTCAGGTCGAATAGAAAAGGTTTCCGAGTCTCAGAAGTGTACAAGTCTTCATGGAAAACAGGCCCCCAAACATATTTATAAACAGCATGCAACAGGACAGACCCACCAATGATGGACATAAAACTAAAATTCGAGAATCAGTACTTTATTAGTAAGAAAAATACAACAAAAAATATTCCCAAAAAAAATCCATATGACGATGTCCACCGCGAAGAGAAAGCATGAACGACAAAATAAATATCATTACCTCTTTTGAGTACATCATGAAAACAAGCGGATGCGCATCATATATTATTTTCCCCTTGCATGTTGTTCCTGTCATTACTCTATCTAGACGAGGAAACGTATATATTTCCATTCAGTCGCATTAAAGAGTATCATTGCACGTATGAAAAGATGTGTGTGCACTGTATTTACCTAACGAAATTTTTTTCCATATATATAATAGTGTACTTCTTTGTATGTATGTTAATATCTCTCAGATCGTCTGTTCATCGTCTTGACTCCTGCTGTGGTCAGGGGTAAGTTTTGCAGCACGAGCAGCAGCACCCGTCTTGTTCGAGGCACAGGAGCCTGCTGTTAGGCTCACATACTCATCGACCCGCAGGCCATTGTTGCTGCTGCTGCTCTTGCTTTTTCGGGTGTTTTGGTCATCCGCCAATATCGACTGTTCGACTCGTTCAACTGCTTATCGCGAGTCACTCACTACCGTAACTCGCTGCCAATGCAATGACGGCCGCCATACGCGCGTAGAGAAGTATTAGCGGTAGTAACAGTGGTAGTCTCGTGGTGTCAATCGCGACGCTCGTCAATGCATGACCTCGAAATATCGACGCTGAGCACATACACGCTATCGACAAACGCGCTAGCAACAGCAAAACCACCGCCATCACCACAATTACCACCCGCTGCGATGAATTGCTCGTTGTCAACGACGACGATCGTGGAATGCTGCTGCTGTCGCTGCTGGGCGTCAGACTATGTTGAGAATTACGAGAGTGCCACGACGACAAAATAACGACAAAGAGAACAAACGACAATAAGAAGAAGAGTGCTGTTGGCTCGCGTTCTTTCTATCCCTCTCGCACCCTCGATCTGCGACAAGCCATGTGTGTTCTGCTGATGCTCGCACGCTGTGATGCCGATAGTGGCCGGGAACAGACCATCCACTCGACAGTAGTTTATTGTCTCGTCGTTGCCTGGCGGTCGATGGGGACTCGCTCGCCAGCGCAGCCACGACCGTACAGACAAACAGTCTGACTTGTTCGTTAGATACAACATCGAGTTTGTATGATGTGCCTGATACATGAGCCAAGATGAGCTGCAGCTGAGTGGCAGGCCGGCAAGAAAGCATAGCCCTCAGCATTTCTGCCGCAACAAACTCCCAGGCGGGAGCAACAGCTCTGCGGGAGCAGAGCTTCATTGGGTCATGCGGCACCTTATGCAGAAGATGAAGACAACACAAACGAAAAGCGGAACAAAGAGAACGGAATACGCGGGGTGTTAGAGACAACTATGGCGGCGCTCCAGTTCGATCAACTGAATCCTGTCTGTTGCCTTTAGCTCCGTATGGAACTTCCTTAGTCTTTCTATGTTTCTCCTATGGTTCCGTATGGTCCTTCGCTAGTCCTTGTAATCCCTCAAGCCCAGCCCGTGGATCCGACATGGATACCGACATCACCTTCAACTTACGTATTTCTTTCGTATGCAACTACCAGCCACTAGAGAGGCGAACACTACAATCCCCATCGTTTGTGCGGCCATCGTCACTCGCCAAGCTTTTTTCGCGATCACTCCCAAAGCTCCCATTGTTGAGTCGTTTCTGGTAGCCCCACTAAAGCAACCGTTCCACAGCTGTTTGCACTAGGAGAACCATGGGTTGAGTGGCCTGCTCCGGCCCGTCGGCCTGTTCGCTAGAACGCTTCTTATTCTCGTCATCGTCGTTGTTGTTGTTGTCCTACAACCCACCGTTCTTCTGCTGTTGCTGCTGCCGCCATCGGCCCCAAGACAGGTCCTCACTACCACTACTGCTTGCCCCGCAACTCCAACGCGCATCACCACCCCAGCCTATCTACTTTCGCCTTCCCTCCCGTTTTACCCACGGCACTCCCCCGTTTGCGTTACAAGCAAAGGGGAGGCACAACCAAACAGGCGCGGAACGCGCGGGCACTAAGCCAGACCGTTGGTTCATTCCCTAGCGAGCGGTTCTGCAGGCGACAACGAAAACGACCCCTGCTGCTCTTGGCTCCTGCCACTCTGCTGGCCCCCCACAGTCGAGCATCACACTGTTCGGCGTTGCTCCTCCGCTGTTTCGGCTCGCCGACTCTCCTTATGAGCACAGCGTTTTCTCTGTACATCGTTCTCTCAATGGCGCTAACCCACCAGGAACGCGTTTCCCGCTTGCAACGCCGCCGACGAAGCCACCAACGCGGCCAACATCGCTGTCACCGCTACGGCCACTTCCATCACCGCCATAGCCGCCGGGGCTCCTGCCACTATCACCCAGCCCTGAGGGTCTGAAATGCTCTCTCTGGTCCCTCCTTACGCGACCACTGAGTCGTAAACTGGCATAAATAATTATATACGACGAGCAGCTAAGGGGCAGCCAGGATGTGGAGAAGGTTAGGGCATTAGTTGGATGTCGGTTGGCAGACCCGACCCCTTTAAGCCTGCCGTTACCGTCGGTCGTTTGAGTGGAGAGGGGCGTACGAGGCTGGCGCAAGGGGCAGTGGCGGATCCGTTGAGCTGCTGCTGGGAGAAAGGTGTAGCGGCGGTGAGTACTTTGGATTTACCGGGGGTCGGGATGGTTGGGGTAGGAGCAGCTCCACTTCTATCACTGTTGCCAGCCGCGGTGACCACCATCACGTATGAAAGACCAGGGGGCTAGGGACTCGTTCGGACGCTTTACTGACTTGAAGGAGGGTGGCATGTCGAGGTCGAGCGAACCGAGCTGGGTTGGACCGGCTGAACCGGACGGCGAACCAAGGCGAGGAGCATCTCAATTGCGCGCAGCGGCGGCAACGGCAGAGCTTACTACTGCCTCCTTTTTCTACCCGTCCCCCTAGGCCCATTCGCTCCATGTTCGGTGTTCCGACCCTGTGTACTTGTGCCTGCGTGCTATGTAGCGTGTGTCTTGTACGTGCGCTGTGAAAGCACGTACACACGCTATGCACGCACAGCATAGAGAGCCGTGGCCCGTTATGCGTCAACCATCTACCCACACGCCTCGTCGTCCCCACCTTATTACCCTGCCTATCTGGCAGACAGCCATTTTTGCCTATCAGACTCTGCTTAGGTTCTATCCGCTTGCCGCCTTCCTTCCTTCTCTCGATCGGCTGCTTCTCTTCGGCTGAAGGCACACTCAACTCTAGCGTCCTCCCCACGGTTGATTCCCTGGTCCTATACTCTTTTCCCGGTCACTCTCGCTCCCCGATTCTCCTCTCAACCCTACCCTATCTTTCTTTCCTGTTTTCGCCTGCATCCCCGTAACTTCCCTTCTCTCTCTTCCTTCCGTTCTTTGCCTCGTCTTTTCACTCTCTTTACCCTAGCCAACATCATCGTCTCGCCTTTAGCCGTTCTCAGTCTCTACTGCACCCTCTCATACTCGGCACAACCTCATACTTCCTAGCAGCACACACCCTACCTCCCTCGGCGCTTACTTCGGAAACGAGGAGTGGCGAGTAAAGGGCAGGCTGACGCTTCAGCCACCACCGAGCCATCTAACCATCTAACTCGGCGAGAGGCTCTCGGACTCGCTTGCGAGTTCGCTCACTCGTTCACTGGTCCGCACGCTGCTAGCCATCAGCGAGTACCCTCAGAAGGATAACAGAGGCCACAAAGCGCCACTACCGCATCTCGCCCCTACTTTTCCCTATCAATCCCCTACTTTCCCCGCCTTGCTTCAAGACCGACAT